ATAATATTCATATTGTTCATGCTCTTTGATATCATATATATAACTAGCTCTACACTTTATGTGTATTGAGCACTCTTTAATGGGATCAGCCACTTCCTCACACGATAATATTCATATTCATTTATAATCATGTAATATTCTCAAAGCCTTGCTATAGGTACATATATTTGTTTAGACGGCACTGGGCATCCTATTSTTTGTTTAGTCTATTGTTATGATATTAAAAGTCAAAATGATGGCTACTTTCTGACATTAGTAATAAGGTCTATTTTGTTAAAAGGATAAATGGAGATTAAGTTCTGACTGTTAAAAAATGAAAACCCTTCATGTAGTGAATAAATAACAATTTAAAAAGAGACACTCATTCATTTGTCATCAAGAATAGTTGATTGCTTGTTAGTTTACCTTTGAGCTGCTGCAAATTTCTTATTTAAACCATGTAATCGCATAGACCGTATATCGCCCATGTAATAAAGCATCATTGTCATCGTTTTGCCTTTATAAATGCGAATGGCATATCTGTCTTTTAAGAGTGTAGAGGGCTTTATCCAAATACACAACGTAAAATTATCTGGTGTGAGGTTTAGAGGTTCAATTTTAGCATAGCCTTTCTTTCCGTGCAAGAATAATGCTTTTTCTCTTCCTTGAAACTCGTAGTTAGCATCTCCTTGTACTCCACGAATCCTGTAATTGAACACACACAAATTGATATAGCAAACCTTACATTCTACACATTACCTAAACGTAAAGGGAACATGGCAAAGCTCCAACAATTTAAACAATTTGTGATTCTCTATTTCGTTCATGATTTTGTACACAACGATTTCGCTTTCTCAACCTTTATGATGTGTTATATATGCCTTTTTATAAAATTTTCGATATATAACGCGCGCTTTGATTGGCTGATGACCGTGTTTATATCAGAGGACAGAGACACGGCTTACCGGCAAAATTTTCTTTTCGCTCGAAAAATTTTATAAAAGAAATATAAAACGGCCGCTTGTGTCTCTGTCCTCTGATATAAACACGGTGGGAGTTGAAACACACTCGAGAAGCAAGAGAAACACTCGCTACGCTCGTGTTCCTAAGCTTGCTTCTCTCGTGTTTTTCGAACTCCCACCGTGTTTATATCAGAGGACAGAGACACGCGCGCCATTTTATATTTCTTAATTGATAGTACAACATTTCTTAAAATTGATGCGTGTAGCTTAATCCTTTTAATGTTTTATACTCATGATATTGGAAACTAGCAATAAACTAGTGAGAGCTGTGTCGGTGTTTCTAAAGAAACAGTTGTATATAAAACAATATCAATTTTAATTTAACATCGTCAAAAAGTAAGATGAAGGATAAATGTTAGAAACGTCAGTAAGTTGTTAAACCTACCCATTTACGTTTTAATTTATCTTACACAACAGTTTCTAGCTGTAACCATTCTGACGATAACTTATACTTACTCGACCCTAGGATCGTCTCCGTTTAGCTTAAAATGGATGTGGTCAGAACTTAAATCTTTCTCTACAAATGTAAAACAAGACAAGAAAATTAAAAAYARAAGCACCAAGGCCTTCGTCGACTTAATTAATATGTAGCCTTAAAGGGGCGGCCACCAGCATTCACTGCGGTTTTAGATTTTTCATTGGAAAATGAGGTAACTTCGATCATATCCATTCCCAATCCGTTTACATCAATCGTTTAAAGATCGAATCTTACAGTATCTCCATTCATAGAGCATAAAGTGATAATAAAGARTATAGGATTTTGCTTATATTACGATGTATTTTTATTTTCAAACATAAACGAAAGTTCGAAAGGGAACAATAAAGGGAAAGGGAGCAATAATTCGGCGTAAKTTGGACTAAATTGCCATATATTGTCCGTATATTTTTGATATCACATTAAATTTTCAAAGTTGCCTTGAATTGCTGTAACTTAAGGACCAGTTGGGAGGCCTACACTATTATAAGATATCATTTTATAAATATGTCATTAGATGCCGGGGGAAAAAGAATTGGGAAATGTAAGGGAAATAAGGTAATAGCCCGATAATTCAGAAAGTTGTCCTAAGTCGCCAAGGGACACCACCTTATTATCATCCAAATATCCTCAAGTCGATTTAAGCTTCCTCACTAACCTTGTATGTACGTCAAATTCAGGCTCTCCACAAATACATCGTTGACAAAGTCATTCTCGTGTGARCTGGTAATAGAGAGAAGATCACCACCTAATGACTGACAATGGCTACGAGCATCGGTCCAGTTTTTTTTCTCTGTGATGAGCTTGATGGCACTCTTTCCATAACGACGCCATCCATTTCCCAAGTCTATAGAAAAATACAGGTACTTYAAAAAATGGTAAGTCAGGTCATCATAGTCAAGTCCAGTTCGCTGAGATGCTACATCAAATATGTGCAAGTAGCAATTTTTTGCCACATACATGGAAGGAGCATTTGAGTGTTCAGTAGAATTTCAAGTCAAACACTCTCTTTTGCACTCTTTCCGTTATTAAAGGTTGGGCGCCAATGGATTGGCGTTTGGCCAACATTGATTTTTCCTTTTTCGAAGAAKATTCAGCACATTTCATGCTGAGTCAGGCWAAAAATTTTGTCAAAGCCATCAAACATTGCTGGTCAGTAATATTGAGCCATTTTGCCATATGTATATAAAAGATTGTTGGCTGATTTGGATGTTGTTGGARGTGGCAATGAAACATGGTTCGTTGAATTCAAAGTCATTCAAATATTCGAACAAAAATAATTTTAGTATTGCCCTTATGATGTTTGGTATGCGATGTGTGAACCATTTTTCCCCCAAGCGATTTAATGGATGGCTGAAAAGGTTTTGTTTTTAAAATAATGTTGGATGGCACTGAGTGATGAAATCTTCTTCGTTTGGCATGTTTTCGGATATTTATGAATATTTCCACCGAGTATATACCTTCTTTCCATATGCATTTGTAGACTTTACAGTTTTTTTGACTTGAAAACTAAGATGRMAAATTGCATTTAGTTTGCTAACCAACAGGAGAAACAATCAAGGGAAACAAAAACAAACAAACAAACAAAAAACACTGAAACACAAGGCACAACGACTWAAAAAGGCAAATAGTAAATRCACATTCATGCACTTTGGTGACAAATTAGGTTTTTAAAAATAAAAAATTTAAAAATTCTTACGATCATTTCGTGAAGAGACCATCCTTTTCTGGGCACCATCTTGGATGGATTTGCTTTCTTGCTAGAGTTATTCAGCTCACATTCAAACATCCCTTGCTTTGTCTGTCGGACATTTACCGAAAAACACCATGGCGACCAAACACATTCCCCCCAGCAAAAAACGACTAGAGGCTTATGAATGGTCCTGATAACGTGGTCTTCCAAAGCATGTCCGTCAGCAATGGGGACGAAACGATGCATGTAGCATCCATTGATAAATGGTATGCATACGATGAGTAATAGGAACAGTAATTTGAAAACGATATCCCTAAATCTCATTGTTGTCTGCAAAAAAAAAAAAAAAAAAAAAAAAAAAAAAAAAAA